GAAAAAATTTTTTTTGGGGGGGGGGGGGGAAGCTGCATCCCCCAGCCCCTTTTCGTACGCCTATGCCTCTTACGAACTGTTGCTCGCTCAGAACCCTGCATATTTCATTAACTTTAAGACTTTATGGGCAAGCAACATGTACGTACAAAGGTCAATTTTAATTTTATTGTACCATCGGACGGGATGTTTATGTATTAGAATGTAACTCACTATAGCAAATATTTGCGCGGCTGAAACGTTAAACGTTTGACATGTTTAACAAGCTATATAGTTGCCTCTCGAAGTTTCTAGTACTCTGAAATAACAAACCAATCAACCTTTAGCACTTTCATTTATTAATATGCTATCATTAATTTTGCTGATAAAGTGTAAACAATGTAATGCCGTACATCCGTTGGTTTACGATATATTAATTAGTCCTGCAATTAATTAAGAAAAGACAAACCAATAATTATTGTCTTGGTCTGGATGATTTAAGGATTAATCTACAATATTGTTTTTGGACTTATTTACTATTAAGCGAGATAACCCTTACGTCACGTAATTCATTACTTATAACGTCATGAAATAGTTGTTTTAATTTAAATTATGCATGGCGATCAGGTCGCTTTCTGGTGGCGGATTCGGATAAGATCCCCTATATATAATTACATTTCCGCAGACAGGCAGATAGTGAACGAAATCAGGTATAGAGTATCAGGTCTTCTCATATATTTGGTATTTGGGCATTACGGAGGCACAGTAGCCAGAATAGGGCGCCTTGTGGGTTCGGGGAGTCGTCGCTCCGGACTCCTGTGCCAAAGGGCCAATCAAGCGGTTTACCCGCCTATCCGAAAATGTTGACTGGATTGGTTGAGATAAATCCCGAACTCGATATAGTCGTACTCCGCGTTGATCGGATATGAGTCGTACGGTGGCAGCTAGAGGCGCCCTTATTAAGCCGTAGTAGACTCGATATGCTCGAGCTGTGTCTTCGTCGCGTATAATTCAGGGTCATATCAGGGAATGTTAAAGCTTGAGGAAGTATTACAAAAAGTACCACCTGAAAATCAAATTACCATCTGAAACAAAAACATATTTAATTGATTATTGGACTAAACCCATCAGATTGTTAAAGATCGACTGCATCCTGTGGTTTTTCAGGTTTTAATATAGCGTAGTATATATACTGTTTTACTGCTTTAGTAGCGCGATATGTACCTTTAAGGCAAATTTCCACCCGGAAAATAAGCAGCGGATCGGACTGGATCGCAACAAAACAAAATCGGCGCATGCGTCATCAGTACAAAAATTTTTGGTTCCGATTGATCCAGCGAAGTTGCTAGCCGGATAATAAAAGTTAATATTTTCAATTTGTATTGGTCCGGTCCCGCGGATTAAACCTGGCGACCAATCAAAATTCCGTATTATCTCACATAAATTAAAATAATTAAATAATACCTATATAAAATTTACAAAATGGAGGATGTGAGACTGGAACGAGCTCCAATTTTTCATTTTCCGATCCGATCATTCCATTTGTCCTTTTACTGGAAATCGCTTGTTGGATCGGACCGGATCGGAGAAACCTCTGATCCGGTCCGTCCGCTACTTATTTTCCGGAGTGGAAATTAGCTAGCCTTTAATCGATTGCCTGCATGGATCAACAACGTTGTTTTCAGAAAGGGTACCAGTAAGAAAATGTAGGGCATTATATCCTCATAAAAGCCTTAACAATCGTTGCATGATAGTTTCGCAGAGCGTAAGATGTGGTTTTTGTCGAATGAACATAACATATACTACCGGGATAATAAATTCAAAGTCTGCTGTTTTGTCCAATTCTGGATAAAATATACAACTCATTTTACCATTCCCGCCTGTAAACTCGACGATCGAGTCTTCAACGGTGTTGACAACCGCAAAAGACCAATCAACTAAAATACCCTCTTTTGGGAAAACCTTGACCACTCTGGATCATGTTAGATGTATTTTAGCATTTGGACTTGGGTGGCGCAATCGTCACAGCAATTTCCTTTCACCTCTGAGACCTCTGAGATCGTGGGTTCGATCCTTGATCCGGACTTAAGACGTGAGAAGAGTTAGTCAACGCTATACGGCAAGTCGTGGATTTTTCCGGGTTCTCCGGTTTCCTTCCACATGGAATAGTATTGACAGAGTGGGATGGGAGTGGCCCCTAATTGACCATTCCACAGTATCCGTGTTCCGTAATCAGATTCCGTAATCAACCAATAAGGTAGTTGCCCGTGCACTACATTATACCGGAGAGCTTTCCGTAGCGGCGCAAAAAGGCATGTACGTATCCGATACGGAATGTACAACTTTCAGAAGCTGAGCGAAACAACATCTCTCCAGCTCCGTTGCAATAATAGACATCCCAAAATAGCGTTGCAATGTTCCTTAAACGTACGAATAGGTGATTTTCACGTCGTTACCTACGAAAAGCTATCCGGTATAGTGTAAATTACGTACCCTTAGACAGCTTTCCATTCGATCAAGTTAATTGAGCTGCTTCTTTCGGCTTAGCTATACGAGCTCTATCATGCAAAATTCCGCAAAAATTAGTTAGTTTTAAGGGGACATCCGCGTTAGCAAATACAACAACAACAACAACAACAACAACAACAACAACAACAACAACAACAACAACAACAACAACAACAACAACAACAACAACAATTGATTTGTTACCCAGAAATTGAAAGTTACATGAAGTAAAATAGATATACAAGACGATGGGTATGGGTTCCCCAAAATAACTAATAAGCTAAAATTCATTGGAAAGCCCAAATAGTGAAGACCGAATACGTCGCTTGCTTAAGTTCACTAATACCTAATCCACTTATTTTGCCATTTTTCAACAGTTTATCATCAAATGTTTTCTTCAACAAGACAAGACTTTGTTCCAATTTTCCATCTAAACCTCTACGTAAGTTTATACGTATACAATGCTGTGATTAAAACGTATAGAATGAATGTTTGTGCATGATTATCATATTTTACTCACATGCCTATATAGTTACTATATTCAGGTTCTACTTTACAGATTGAAGCATAGTATGCAGGGTGTCCCAAAAAACCAAAACTATTGAAATAACCTATATATTAATGATAGAATTTGAATGCCTCAGCACTCTGCTGAACACACATTAATTCACCTATTCACCAATAGCGACGCCATCTTGAATTTCGCGTTTAACGCAATGCATTATGGGTGATCCAGGGTAATTGAGCGTTTTTGAAGGGCTGTAAATCAAATATGTAGGCGAAAACACACGTTTTTATAGTTGAAAATAACAGACAATTTTTAGAAGAACTAGGGAAACACACAAAAGCTGGGAAAAATAAAAAAAATCAGGATAAAATCTATAGTTTAAATCTTTGTTAGGCCTAAAAAGGGAAATAATTTCAACAAAGCGGGCACTGCCTCATTGTCCTCAAGAAAGTGTTTATGAAAAAAAAATTATCGTATTGTGTCTCAATACGACATTAAAGGCTTTTGAATTCGGATTTTTACCCTGGATAACCCATAATGCATCATGATTCAAAATGGCGTCGCTATTGGTG